CACTCACAAACATCGTTTCGATTTCTTTATTTTCTTTTTTTTGAAGAACTCGGAAAAGAGGTCTGATAGTACTGTATACGTAATAAGGTACTCGTCGTCTTATATATCTTTTTTTGTTAAAGGCTCCGTCCAGTATAGCGCGCTATATGCTGACGTTATAAGTGGTTCATGCTACGTGACCATGTAGGAGTGGGACAGAGCTTTAACCCGGCACGGTTTGCCATCGCGGGGTATCATATTCAGGCTTACTGAATTATCGTATTTAAGCCAGGACATTATTGAATCATATGTTAATTCTTTTGTCTGTTATTAGTTATTGTCTGTCTGTGTATTTTTCGAGGATGTTTCTTATTTGGATGCGAAACTAGCCATGACCGATAGGCATCTTGGGTAGTAATTATGAAATTCTTTTACAGGAGTGATGTTACATGTATTAAAGGGTAGGAGGTTGACAACGTCAGTTAATTGTGAAATGATGTTTACGATTGGAGTTGAGTACACAGGATTTTTGATATCATAATGGATTTGTTTTTTTACATATTGAGCATGTTAATTTTGCGGCTGGTCTGACTGGGCCTACAATTCTAATTATAAATAGTCTGTAGCTGTACTGTGTATGAGTTAGAATGCATGTATTAAAGCATGCTGTACAGATTTTTTGAAGCTCTTTATTGCTATAATATATCATGTCGGCACTGATAAAGTTCAGTGGAAATCACGGAATATTTTTATCGTAGCATACTTCTGCAGAACTTCCGGATTGTTACTTACTATTTTGAGACATTTTAGGCTATTAGAACTAATAGCTTGATAGTGTAGTGTGTGTTTATAGATGTCACAAGTGAGCTTAGGTGTTTGAGTGATTGCAAGTAAATGTCCGTGAATCACTGGCTCGAGTACAAAGAAAAGATCAGTAACGAATTGTAAGTAGCATCTATGGCAACACTGTAGGATACGGCAGTCATCACAGAGGATTACATTATTAAGCTGAATGGCGGATTAACAAGTTCTAGAGTTAAGTAATTCAGCGGCGATTCTGAAGTTAGGGTTCATCAATAGTCCTATAAAATGAATAATAAATATGTTGATAGAAAAGTAGTATTTTAGGATTTATATTTTGTGTTAAAAGTATTGTGAAGTGATGTCAGCTTGCAATGCGGAAAGGTCAGTTATTTTACAGATTGCTTTTCGTTTAACTTGTTTTAGATCTAATAGATTTTTTCTATTTGTGTTGCATATCTGCGTGCGTGGTAGAGAGATTTGAAAAAGGAGAAAGCACAGGTATAACGCTTAATTTCTTGCCATAGGCTCTTACTGAAGATGTGAATTGTTAATTCTTCTTATTGTTCGGAGTTATGTCTTATTTCTGTTAGAAATACTTAAACTTTTTTCCACATAGAGTCGTAATTTTCGAGGATGCTGTTTATGCGATTGCCGAATTATTGAGCTGTTTCTTCGTGTAATTACGTTGCCCAGGTTAATCGTTTCTTTTCGAAAATTAGCTTTCGAGAGTTTCTCTTTTTTTCTTTGTATTCTATTTTGTTAGATTTTATTATATTATTTTTCTGTTAGTATTATTTTAATTTGTTAGTGTTACGGTATAGGGTTTAGTTTGATGATCATGGAAGTATTTTAGGATAAAGGTATGGAATTTCTGGTTCCTATAACTGAGACTATATTTTCGTAGAGGTCGAAAGCTTTATCATCTGTGTACTGTTTAGACTGTTATTGCTGGCCTAGCTTCAAAGGGGGGCAGCGGCAACGTGTCTGTTGTCTCTTGTTCTTTCTGCGTGTTTTCTTTTTCTGGTTTCCTCGCGAGATGTAGTAGTAGATTAGTTAGTGAATTTCAAAATGCTCCGAGTAAGTGAATGCTAAAACCGTAGAAGAACACATCCGTGTACGATTGTATTTCACAGACAAATTACATCTCGACTTAACATTAGATCATTCTCCTATTTTTATAGATTTCGTTTCATTAATTAAATTAAAATCTATATCATAAGATCGTCATCGTGTTACCCTTTTGAAAATTCATGAAATATACTTGAAAGTTTATAAAATAATGCATTCTAAAAAAGTTATTCAGGTCCATCTTTTAAAATGGAACACCCTATAATATTTAATAATAATAATGTATAATAAGATTTAATCAAAAACTAGACAACCAATAAACTATTATAATGGTTTGCAGATAAAATTTTTAAAGTTAAATTATTATTATACCTATTATTATATTCTAAACATATTCACATAAATACTTACTTATTTGAGAGAAAATCACTGTCCAACCCCATATATAGAAGAAATTTTGCTCTCGAGTAGCATATTGATGTAATTTACCATGCTTAATTAAATTACATATTATACCCCGCTAAAGGATGATGATCAGGACTCTAACAGTTTTGACTTTTTAGAAACTTTTATAAATTTTTCTACTACGAGAAATTTTTATGTGCGACAGATGACCATAGGTATCATAAATCAATCCTATTTCCCTGTGATCATTATCTCTCAACGCCAGTTAAAAATTACTATTCGATTAGATACCAACCGTTACGCTACATTAGAAGTATTACTACTTATATGTTAAAAAAAGATATAAAAATTCAGTTAAACTCCAATGCTTAGTAAACTATCTATCTCTTCTTCTAAAAGTTCATCTCAAATTATCTACTCGGGATACCCTATTGTAAAATTTATTAAAAAATCATAATAGAAAAAGAGACCATGATGATATCTATAAAAAATCTAACTTTCAAGCGAAGTTCGAGACAAGACATTTTGATCTCTCGCATGCGTGCACACAAAGTGGAATTTAGCCAAGAGTGATACTGCAAACTAATGCCACTGCATCAGCTGATGAAGGGAATAATATCAAGTCTAGCAACGAAGAAGAACGGATATCTGTGGCACTCTTCAGTAAGTTTCATTCGCGTCATTTATTTGTAATGTTTCTTTCCTGTAAGTGTAGTGTGTAGTATACTTATGTTCACCATTGAAACTAGCAGTTTAATAAGGAGAAACAAAGGTTACCTTGTTAACAAACTCTCTCTGGTCCTAGTACCTTCTTTTGTTTGTTGAAACTGAAATACTAACTGTTACGAATATATTTTAAAATATGCTCTCACAGAATTTTCGGACAATGACATTGCACTTAAATCATTTCATTACGCCGCGGACTGTTTTGCTAATCGATGCGCGCGTGCGATATCGAACTCGAAATCAAGATCGAGTGACCGTGCATCGACACTCTCATTTGTAAAAGAATCTCTTATCTGCTGATATTTGTCGGTTGGTCCCTTTGTTGTTAAATTCAATTACAGCCTTTTCGAAACTCGAAACTTAAGCAACACTACGAATATTGTTTACTTAAAATAAGCGTATGAGAAAAGCGTGCGCCGCATCAAGCTGAGTTACGATTTAGAATCAGATTTTACTATTTAACATTGCTACGATCATTGCCTCCAAACCCGCTAAAATGCATACATCGCTAAAAGGATGGCAAATGCATTGTGGCAATCAGACTGGTTGAAAGGTTACCTTTTAAAGCTGATTACCGCCGACGGACATTGAGCGTCCGGCACCCCGTTGTTTGAGCCAAAAGCCGGCAATATCAAACAACGCAACACAAGCCACCAAAACACGGCACAATCTTTAGCGCGCGGTCGTAATCACTACAGACTTTGACTCGTGCCAATCAAACAGAGTAAGGAGCAGTTGATACGTGAATAATGAAACCCCATTGGCAGGAGGTCAAGAAGTTCACGCCTTCGACCTTCGTGCGAGGAAAGGAAATTGAGATAAGAAAAAATTTTTTGCATCGGACTCAGCTGGCGCGGCGACGCGTTTCATTCTTTCTAGATCCGGCTCTTAAAAAAGGCAAGTCACTTATCGTTGAGCACGCGTGCGTTAATCATACTCTATTAAATTGTACTTCCGTCAACTATACCTTTGTAATATTTAGAGATACGATTCTTGTGCCGACTTATTTAATCCTTTCTTATTTTTAACTAACTCAGTTTGCGATTGAGATTTCAAACTTTTATAAATTCAATTTGTATCGTTAGTTTTAATTGCAAACTGACTTTCGTTCCGAGCGTTCCGGTTTATTTGTTATATTTAAGCTATTTTATTATGAGTTGAATAAATCCGGAGCTCTTATATCTAATTTTATAAAACTTCCACTTTCAGTCCTTCTCACCCTAACACTAACAATATTGTTTCAATATCATTGGAAATGCAGTTTCAAGTCATTATAAAAAAACATTTTTGTTCTCTCTGGTGAGTGATACTGAATTACACATGCCATTAAAGATCACTTTTATGAAGAATATATAAATAATCCTGTAACAGTATCTAATAATAGTAATATAAATATTTAAAAATCTTAAACTTTTGTTACGTATACATTCAGAATTTGGACAGGCAACTTTCATAAATTAATTTCTTTTATATTCAGGTTGGACAATCTCCAATACGTATCAGATTTTTTCAAATTTAAAAAGCCGTAGGAAAACACTGAATTTATAAAATCTATTCTATTTAATCATTCATACATAATTTTTATAGAATATTATAGATTTCCATTATTTATCTGATTATTATTCATATAGGATAAATTCAATAATTGATCAAAAATGGATACGAGCAAGCATCAATAATTACAAAGTATGTCAGGGTAGAAATTCCTTCAAAAAGGCGTATGATAGATTTCGTTATTCGGTCTCAATATTTAGTTTTATACTATATTAAAGGTTCTGCTAGATAGTTCATGATGCCTAGAATTCAAAATGACTGATATTTCATATAAACTGTTGATTATTGAAGCAAAGACTACAGATACCTAGCGTACATTTTTCGTATTCAAAATCAACATAATTTTAAAGTAGCAATAGCAATATTTATAATGGCCTTTTTTAAAGGTTAAATTTTCTCTATCAATTTTCATCACCTTAATGAAAACATTAGTTAATCCATAATAACTCACTAATACTACTTACTTCAGCTTGATTTAGTGATCGAAGAAGATCTGCCTCCTTATTTTCATGCCTGGAAATAAATACACAAAATAAATGAAACGTTAAAAAGAAAATATAAGGTATATTTCAAAACATAATTGAGAACATGATATCATGATAATATGGTAACATGATAACATGAAAATATGAAAACATGAAAACATTTATGTATTATGAATATGTATGTTTCAATTAAAATTGTGAAATAATTACAATCATAAATCATAATTCACATATATTATTGAATGTGCAATGGTGAAAAGTAGCTTTTAAAACGAAATAAAATGTAGCTCTTGTGAAGTTAATTTCACCTATTATTTATTATTTTGTTCGTACTCTCGTGATCTGTCGCGTTAATGAGTAAGAATTCGTTTTGACTTTGAAAATATTTATGAATATTGAATTTACAATAGAAATATAAATGAAATATCTATGATTATTTGAATTGGGCTTAAGGAAAGATAGACTTTACCTTTACTTTACCTACTTTATAGTATTTATACACAGATTTTCCCGCCTATTTTCGCAGGACAGCCCTCTTCGAGCTGTTTACGCAAGTGTGCAAAATTATTTTCTCTTTTTTACAATAGAATAGACAGCAGTAACGAAATTTTAAAGCATGTGAAATTTACAGAATTAGATATGGATTATTTAAATATAATTTACATTCATCGCAAAAAGTATAGTCAAAAGTTATTAAATAATAAAGTTAGTTAATATAATAATGCAATATTTACAATAAAATAATGATAAAATTATATATATATAACAATAGTTTATGGCGTGTATAATGCAACGGTAGTCGATTCAATTAATCGCACCGTTCGCGATTCTGAATTTCGCGCGTTAGTTCTAAGTATTGAGAGAGAGAGGGGGCGCGCGATCTTTCAAATTAGCAGTTACGTCTCAGCTGTTGTGACAAGTAGATATCGCCAAAGTTATTTGCACTGTTTTTTTTTCTCGCCGACTAATAATTACTGGTCCATAATAATTACGCGCGTGAGTGCAACAACGAGACCTACAGATTGCAGCGTTTTGGTAGCAGCAGATTTGCAGCTGATAGGTGGTACGAGGCAGCACAGCTGATAACCTAGGACCGGAGGCAGTTGATATTTTGCTGACATCAACAATTACGGCTGATCACCGTAATTGCACCGCAGGGTAGGTGCACCTCCCTTTATTATCGCGTGTCAAAATATATTTATTATTTTGCTCAGCCGCGTTAGCGTTGATAATTTTGTATTCGCGCCGAGCGTTAGATCGCTCCAATTTTCGTATCTTCTCTCTCTCTCTTTCTTTCTCACCGAAAGTTATTAAATTGTAAATCCTGTTCGCGTGCGTCAGTCTTTCGGCCCGAAAAAGACTGTAGAGATTTTTATTAATAAAATCTATAAAAATTATTCGCCGATTTCGTCATATGATTTCTCCTAATAGTTTAAACAATTGAAATAGGCTTAAGTTTTAATCCGATCATAGCTAGGGGATTAAGTGTATTAGGAGCAAAGTCGATTACACTTGAAACCCATCGTGTGTCACAAGGCACGTGACTTAAGGTGAGTTCAACTCTGCTTGATCGAAGACAACCAAGTTAAGTCAGCTGACGTTAAGGCATATACACGTACTAACATACGTGTTAACGGAGCGGCGGTTTGCTCTGCATCGTGGGAGTTTGCTCTTAAATAAATTTCTCATTTTGCAGGTTTATCCCCCTCGTTACATGGCGCCCAACTGGTATTAAGACCCGTGTCGTGCGAATAGGATTGTGCGTCGAAGGTAATCGACGCACGAGAGAGAGAGAGAGAGAGACGATTGCGCGAGCGCTTAGGGAGGTTTGAGCGGGTGGTAGAGCGAGATCGTGAGCGGTACGCCCTCTGCTGGGCAAAAAACGAAACCACTTCGAACCTTTAGCTAAAAATTGTTAAGAATATTGTAATAAGGGCCGAAAGCGATAATTATTGATAGGTCGAAGTGATTTCAGGTCGTACGAGATAATCAGGTGTTAACCCATTTCAGCCACAGTTTGGTGGATAAAGGGAGGTGGGTAGCACCTGATCGACGATAAAGGCAGAGAGCGCGACCCAAGCGTGCAGTTCAATTATTAGCCAGGCGGAGCAAGCAAACAGCAGGCTCCGACCTTAGGTAGGATATTTTTATAATATTTATAGAAAGTTTGCGGAACTGCACGCGCTCATAATCTCGCGGATTTGAGCCTTATAAAAGGAGGCAATAAGGGTAGTTACACTAAATAGTGTATACCCCGCTCATACCTTGGGTGATAGGAAGCGGTAGTGGTCGATTAGGCCGAAAATTTTAAACCTCAACCGCATCCTACACCCGTGCGGAGGCAAGATGGCTCTGTTGTCAGCTCAAATTGACAATTGGGCATTCGAGCTGACCTCCGCACAGCGCGAACGCTATTTAGCGGAATTAGAACTGCGCAAGGATGGAAGTGTCATCCAACAGGCGGCTAGGCTTGGGAGATGGTTGCTGGGTGAGTACACCGCCACAGATTTTCAAGAGACCACGCACAGCAAAGAGGTGGCGGGACGCAGGAGGCGATCCCGACAAGCGTGGCTCGACACAGTCTGTGACGAGTTGGAAAACTCCAACGCGGATGATAACAGCGACCATCCCCTCAGAATCATCAATAGGGAGGGAATATCATTGACTGATATGTCAAGAACATTCACCTGCCCGGATGAGGACTCTGAAGGTGAAGCCAGCCGCCATGAAAAGGATGAACTCGTCCAAAAGGCCCTCCACACGCAAGAACAGAAGGAGGGGGAAAGGAGGCGGAGCAATCCGGATCTCAGGTCGCAGGAAACCTGCACCCGGAAGGAGCCTCAGGAAGAATTGTCCTTGAGAGAAGCTTTCCGAGAAATAGAGTACCTGAAGGAAGGAGTCGACCGTAACCACAAACTGGTAGGTCGAATCCTGGAAACCCTACAGACTCTGCAGGGAATACAGGTGTGTGCGGAGCGCGAGGCGCAGGATATGCGTCTGCGAATACGAGAGCTGGAAGAGACAATGCATGATATGGCCAATGCAAGTCGTTCTTCTCTGCGCGACTCGGTTCAACCACGTTCCGCACGTAATGTGGACTTTCAGGACACATACACCTGTCACTACGACTCTGGGATCCCGGGAAGCACACCGGCTCCTCCAAGACCACAACCCAGAAGGAGGGAAGTCACCCCACCGGAAGTCCTCCAAAGAAGAGGACAGGAAGAGGATCCGGAAGATTATGGGAGATCCGAACCTGTTTGACAGAGGAGTCGAAGCGGATCAGCTGGCACCGGACATCAAATATCCTCAGGGCTCTCCACAACCCGAGATGTTGGGAAAATTGTCCGCGGATGGAAATTGAGGTTTGCGGGCAGTAGGGCACAGAGCGTAGATACGTTTCTGTCAAGGTTGGAAGATCTGCGCGTAGGTGCAGGGCTAACTGATGACGAAGTACTTTGTTCCGTATCAGAGATCCTCGAAGGTAACGCGAGGACCTGGTACGATAATAACAAGTACCAGTGGCTCAGTTATACAGAGTTCGTCGCGGACGCCCGGGACTGGTTCGGCACAAGTACGCAACAGCAACAAAGGCTATTGCAGGAAGCTCAGAACCGGTTCCAGGGCGAGGACGAACTAGTGCGAGACTACGTGTCCAACCTGGTGGCTCTTGTCAATAGACTAGAACCACCCATGCCCTTGGAGAGGTTATTAGACTTACTCCATGCAAACCTCCTTCCAAACATCCAAATTCAGCTGCGTCGGAGCGAGATGAAGTCGATACGCGAATTCAACAGGAGGGCGACCGAAGTACAGAACACCTTATCTTATGGTCGTCGTCCACGTGTATTCGCTGACCCCAATTCGACGATCTTCCCTCAGCACGCCTACCAGCCGAGCAAAAGAACGGCTGGTAGTAAATCCCAAACCGCTGCAATGGCCAGCGAAGGGAAAGAGCGTGCGAAGAAGGAGGGAGATCCGCAGCGCGGACAGGGAGTGGAGAACCCTGCCAGGAGGCCTACCGAACAAGCGTCGGTATCGGCTACGCAAGCTCCCACTTCTGATAAGAAGATGGAAGAACGTCTGGAGGGCATCGAGCGGATGTTACGCAAGCTGGCCACTGACAAGCAAGGCAGCCCTCCAGAACAGCGTAAGAGCCGATGGCGTGGGGGAAGGAAAAATTCCCCTTCTCCCAGATCTCCTGGCGAGCGGCGAGATGGGCAGAGGCGGAAGATCGACTTCACCAAGCCTCTCCAGTGTTCCGCTTGTGGCAAGCTGGGATTCAGTCGCAAGTTCTACCCAGATTGCAACAAGGGAAACGGCAAGGAGAGCGAAGAGAAGAGGTCATCTTCGCGCCTCCACTAGATTCGACCTCTCGCCGCGGGTCGCCGATGGGAAACAGCAAATTGTCGGCGACCCAGGGATCCAAACAGGTCCTGGAAGGGCATCAAGAGAGTCCAGGACCTAGCAGTACGTTAGAGCAGAAGGCGATCGAACCCGATGCCAGCCCTCGGCAGAATAGAGCAGTGGTCATTCTGGAAGGACCAGATGGCCATATACAGGTTATGGAGGAGGGGGAAGATTCCAGGGAAGGCCTCTCCACACAAAAAGCTCCTCTGCCGAAGAAATCCACGAGTAAAAGCAAGTCTATCGTCGTCGCAGCAGCGGAAGGGAAAAACACGACGAAGGGAGGCAAAGATGCAACTCGTGGATATGACCCAGAGGATGAGACCAGGTGGTGGTTGCGGGTAGACATAGGTGACTTTAAAATTAGAGCACTCTATGATACCGGCGCCTCATCCACGGTCATGGGTCAATTAGGGCTGAGATTAGCATCGGAGATGGGACTCGGGTTGAATGTGACCAGGGCGGGCGATGCAAGGCTTGCTGATGGACGCCCGTGCCCTATAATTGGTCACGTGATGTTCCCTTTTAAAGTAGGGGGAATCACGAAGGCAATCAGAGTCGCCATTACGCCGCTGCTCACAGATGACTGCTATGTAGGCGCGAACTTTATAAGAGAGTTCC